CACACACACACACACACACACACACACACACACACACACACACACACCGTTTAATGAAGACAACAGCAAACATTCAAAAAAATACATAAATACAGTTTTAAACTAGAGACTGACACTGAGTTCATGTCCTCTGATTCCAGTTTTTGGGGGAATTTGCAACCTGTGGGGAATAAGTTTCTTATTGTGGCTTTAAGGGAGTATTTAGGTCTTAATGTGGGAAACAAAAGAGCAATACTTTATTTCTAAAATTTCCTAATAATTTCAAGTGTATGTATTTCCTGTATAGCTATGTCATCAGGCACCAATGACAAAGAAAATAATTCTGAGATAGTGATCTTATCTAGAGTACAAATTATAAAGATTTGCTGTATTTAATGTGAAAAGTTCTTCGGGCTTTGACCAAATAAGCAAATTGTATTCTTTTTTTAATTTTATTTCGACAATGTCGGGGGCTAAATGGATAATCAATTAATCATAAGAAAAGAAAGAGGTGCTAATACAAGATGTACAGTTGTTTGTGAACGAGCCATATAAAGACTATGCATTCAATATTCTTATTGCATTTGGCATGAACAACGAATAAATATATTTGAAATTGAGTATTTTTATTTGCGTATTATCAGACAGCTGAACGCAGGAATTTGGAACTATGGAGATTCGGATGTATTATTGTTTGTTTGGGCTTTATTATTGTTTGTTTGGGCTTTATTTATTTTTTTCTTTCAAATGTAATAATTGTTGGTAACACCTCACCATTATGCCGGAGGAGGGTGGTGTGGAAGTTGAAGATGACGCAGGCTCGTTTTAAGGTAACTGCCCAGATTTACTATGTGAATGAAGGCAGGCTTATCCACAATATGCCAGTTACACCCCCCCCCCCCCACTTAATTTGCTGCTACTGTAATCACAGTTGGCTTCATTCCCAGATATTATGTCACGGCCGAGATGACAAGGAAACGGACTCCAAAAAAAATACCCAGTATCTTCTCTGTAAAACAATAAGAAAGTCAGCCCCCAAAACATTTAGGAAGAAGTTAAATATCGCTATCAAGACATTAAATTACTTTCTATGAACTCAGTCAGCCGTGAAGTCTGTGAAGAGAGGGCAGCGTTAGTGGGAATGAATCCATGCTGCCATTTCCATAAAACTGCACCCGACCAGAAAGAACTTGTTGAAAAGCACATGCCACATCTGTTATTTATGTAGTTATTTAGGTGAAATGTGAAGCTCGTGCCGAAAGGAGCGGCAGAGGGGCGACTTGACCTTTTCGAGAGCACCTGTGAACTGGCCTTTCCTGTTTGTAGGCATTTTTAACCGGTCGCTCCTGTTCACAGCTGAAACAACTAAAGAGTTAATCAGCAACTGTTTTTGATTATTGATCAAACGTTTAAGTCATTTTTTCAAGCAAACATGACAAGCTCCTCAGCAGACCCTTTTTTTCAGCAGCACACACGTTTGATGTGATTTATGACACTAAACAACCGCCGGCCGCATTCCATTTTACAGGTGAGGCCAATCCAGGGTGCCGGTGTTGTGCGTGCTTTCATTGGACAACTGAGCCATCGTTAACGAAAAATAGTTTCCCATGTGTTCTTCCCACACTCTGACAAGTCGGAACATCTGCAGGGGGAAAAAGGACGAGTGTTAGGATTCCCTGCTTTTGTTTTCAGTTGTCTTATTTTGTCACGCCAGTTGCGACTCCGCCTTCATTTTGCGGCTACAGTAGGATTCTCCACGAGGACACACATACAGACTCAAAAGGTGAAGTGAATAGGGCCTTTTCACAGCAGATCTTTTGACATAGCAGGGTAACAATCAGGTGTAGATAAAATGAATTATGCTCCTGTTCTATTTAGTATGTCACAGTCATTCCAGTGAGCCAGCATGCACAACACCAGGGCCCTGGCCCACCTAAATGGAACAGGGCCATGATTAATGTTATTAATTACACCTGTGTTCAATCACATGTCACCTTGGCGGCTGTGAAAAAGGCCGAGACCAGCAAACACTGTTGTAGCTTTATAGTGTTTATTAGTGTATGCACAGGGTTTATAGCATAAACACATATACATAAAGTATGTTCCGTCTTATACTTCTCTAAATGTCTCATTTTGCAATGACATCTAAAGAGGACTTTGTGTTTCAATCATAAACATATATATATATTTTTAATCCCTTTTACACAGAAAAATGGAGGCGACAAAAATACCACGAACGGCTGCATTATACTGAGCGAGCAGATGAGCAGTTCTGAGAACACATCCGCTGCCGTTTCATAAAATGGACGAGGATACAATTATCTGCTGGGCCTTGGCTGTCTTTCACTTTGATCTCTAATATACGGACACTTTATTAGGTTTTATAGAAACGCATTTTGCACATTGATTCATACTGAATGGTGTTTTTTTTTTCCTGCTAGAATAAAGCTCTCATCTTCCACAAACACAAACCATAACGTGGGAAGTCACTTAGGTAACTGTAGCGTTAAATGTTTGTTACAAAAACCCGCCACGTCAGACCGGGCACGGGTCAGCTGTATCATGTTGGGACTATGAGAAAGATTATCAATAGTGAGTGTGAACTAGTTTCTTTAATTATGATACGTACCGATCCGATACCAGTGTTTAATTAATAAGCTGTATGCTTCACTGTGTGGAAGTGACACACACACACACCCCCAAGCGCAAACATTCACAGCAGGACATAGAACCATACGTAACACTCCCTTCCTTAAGATGACAGCCATAAGGGTGTCATCCTAAGGTATGCGGGAGAGGGCATCGGCAACAACGTTGTCACGCCCCTTTTTGTGACGGATTTCCAGATTGAAGTTTTGAGCCATAAGGGCCCAACGCATGAGTCGTTGGTTGCTGTTGTACATCCTTGATAGGAAAACCAGAGGGTTATGATCGGTGAACACAATTACACAATTACTGGCTGCGGAGTCAAGCTCACATAAGCCTCAAAATGCTGGAGGGCCCAAAGCACAGCTGAAGCCTCTTTTTTTCGATGGTGCTGTACTTACGTTGGGCTGCAGAGAACTTCTTCGAGAAGTAACACACCGGGTGATCAATGCCAACAGAGTCTTCCTGAAGCAATACAGCACCAGCTCCAGTACCACTTGCGTCCACCTCCAACTTGAATGGCACTGTAAAGTCTGGAGCTGACAGAACTGGGGAGCGACACAGAAGAGCTTTAACAGTTGTAAAAGCCTGCTTACACGTTGCGTCCCAAACCAGATTCTTATTGGGACTAAGAAGGTCTGTCAAAGGGGACACAATAGAAGCAAAGTTTCTGCAAAAGCCTCGATAGTAACCAGCTAATCCAAGGAATTGACGTAGCTCCCGTTTAGTAGTAGGAACAGGAAACTGAGCAATGGCTGTCACCTTCGCCTCAACTGGGCGCACTTGGCCCTGCCCAACATGCTTGCCCAAATAAGTAATAGTAGCCTTTCCAAACTCACATTTTGTAAAGTTCAAGGTCAAAGAAGCATCTTGCAGACACTGGAACACAGTGGACAGGGTTTCTACATGAGATGGCCAATCAGGGGAGTAAACCACCACATCATCGAGATATGCCTCACAGTTTGAAACTCCAGATAGGACCCTCCTCATAAGGCGTTGAAAGGTGGCAGGGGCATTGCACATGCCATCACTGTATACTGTAGAAAGCTATCTGGGGTAACAAAGGCAGAAATGTCAGAGGCACGGGCAGTCAAGGGCACTTCCCAGTAACCTTTGAGTAGGTCAAACTTTGTGACAAAACGTGCATCTGGGCTCTTTTTGTGGGGTTGACACGGTAAGCATGCTGCTTAATCGGGGAACAGTCACCAACATCGATGTCATGTTGCAAGACAGTGGTCTGGGAAGGTACATCTGAAAATAGTCCACGGTGGTGCTCAATCAACCTTACACTGTCACTATTGTGGGAACCAGAAAGATGAGGCCGATTCTTCTCCAAGTCATCAAGCACTTGAGAATTCTGCGACCGAGCACACAGAACAGGAGCATCTTGTAGCAGGAACTCATCTTCCAGAGGGGAGTAAGGTGGCAGCACTGCGGTTAAAGCTACAGGTGACACCTCAACTCCATTTCACTAGGCCTTGTCACATATGGCTTCAGCGTGTTCACATGGCACACACACACACACACACACACACACACACACACACACACACACAC